ATAGTCAGACGATGGTAGTTCGAGGACTATAGCTGGCAGGCGGCGGAGGTCGAAAGATCGTAACTCAGTGGGCAACTGAGGTTTGAATGGTCGTAATTGGGGGACGGTGGTCAGAGGATAGTTGTCAACGATGGTAATCTGAGGACAGTAGTCGGCGACGATGGTCCAAGGACTGTAGTTCTGTGACAATCTAGCAGTGGCACAATAGTGGTGCCCAGATGGTGCTCTAGAATCTTCAATGCTCAGAGCTCTCTTGAAACTCATCCAAAGTTCAAGCTCCAAGCTCCTTTCATCACCTCATATAAGGAGTGAGAACCTATTTATAGATTTTTAAGAATGGCATGCCCGTAAATATAAAGAAAATCTAGAACTCCATCAAACAGCATGTATTGATTCCCTCAGTTATAAAGCATATCTTCAACGTTTAAGTATCTTACTGATGTTAGAATCAAGCGAATTTGGGTTTGTTGGATTCTTTTGGTCGTGATGCTTAATTTGACTATAAGCATGCCAAATTTAGAGATTGTTTGGTCATCTAATTAATGTTTTGAAGATTCATGCCCTTGATTTGGGCTCATCTGAGCTTGGATTGGATCATTATTGATGTCGTTGTGTTCATCTCATCGGGATGTTTAGTTCAGCTTAAGTTCGATGAAATAGGAGTTCTGATGATTCTTAATTTAATTTTGAAAGTTTTCAATTGAAATATGCCACGAAATTCATGCCCAAGTTTCTCATGCTCGAGTCAACTCCTACTTGCAGTCAATCAACCCCTTAAGTTTCTTCATACTTCTAGCATTGCATGTTTCTAAAACTGGTGGATCCATTTTAAGATTATAGGAAAAAGAGTTTTGCCACTTTCCTCAAACAAATAAAAATCTCCTACACAATATTGCTGAATTTTTTTTATGATCGCCTCTTAAAAATAAGCAAAGACGCACTACAAACAAAATAAAAAGTTGCAGTAATCCATTATGAAAAACTGATATTAAAGATCATGTCCACTGCTACCTTCCCATTTAGGCAACTTCATGGGTAAGCTTTCAAGGGATTATACGTGATGAACTGATGATATTTTTTGTAAATAGCTCTCATGGGGTATTTCTAATGATAATCATCTCCACTACTATCATACCATTAAGACTACCTTATGTGTGTGCCTTCTAGATTCTTTTTTATAAGATACAATAAATTATTCAAGTAAAAACCTACCTAGCAAGATCAACGAAATTGTGGATAAATTCAGCCAAAAGGGAGTAGAATAAAGTACACGCTTGACCCCTAAGAGTGGTAGGAAAGACCTGACAAAGGATCACAAAAGAAACTTGTCGAATATGCATGATGGCCCTATAATAATCTATCCATTACATGCATTGATAGCAAGCAACTTGAATCCCACTATAATGGGATGTTGGAGAATAGTATTGATTAGAGGACAAGATTCTTGAAAGTTGCACTGATGAGTAAGCTCATTCCTTTCTCCTAAAGAAAATTTCTCGTGATTAAGACGACAAAGTTCATCTCTTATGATATTATGAAAGGCGTTAATATGGCTATGTTGATTAAGTCCACAAGGGTTGTTGGAAGATTATGGGAGGGCCGACTAACAAAGGAAATATAGGTTCAATTGGCGATGTCCAATAGACCTTAGTGATATTGTATGGGATAAGGAGCTACAACATGACAATGAGGAAACACTGCATGGGTGGCATTAACTTCATTAGCCCCGGGCTGTTATTGATTTTATGTGAGAGAAGTATAGAACTCTATCATATTTTGATGATACTCTTTATCATTTAACATTCTCTAAGAGTTGAAGGATTTAAGCTTAAAGCTTCTCCATCCTATGCAAGTAAGACATAGGTGGAATTCACCATCCTTTTTTTAGGGGTTGATTCTCAAACATTGAAAAAATATCGTAGTATGCTGTGAATATTTCTCATATACGACACCAAATAGTTGCATGCTAGATGGTAGCTAGATGTTGGTACTCAAGCAATGGCGGAAAGGTCACAACAGTCAAATGATTTCTTGGGGAAGTCATCGATGATGATTTTAAGCAAAGCTCTCTCCAACTCTAAATCCAAATTTAGATGCATGCTCAAAGTTCCAAGTCCCCTTCATGTAGACATTGTCGAGAGTCGGAGTATATTTAGAGTATTTGGGAAGTGAAATATTGTTAAATAAAACTAAAATTTCAAAACACTTCATCAGAGGACTCATATCAAACAATTTGATCATACATCATTTATTCAGCATTTTAGTGTCTTAAAAACCTCAAAATCGATTGATTTTGGGCTTATTAAACTCCTCTCGATGAGATGCTCATTTTAACTATAAGTATGCCTAGGGCTGTGATAGGAAATACTTGAACCAAACATGAACACAAACAATAAAGCTCGAACAAACATGAACCAAACTTGAACAAGCTGATATTAAATGAACACAAACATAAACACTCACATACTCGGCTCGGCTCGGTTCATTTGCAGCCCTAAGTATGCCAAATTCAGAGATCATTTGGCCCCTCAGTTAATGTTTCAAAGTTTTCAATTATGCATAGAGGGCTTGATTTGGGCTCATTTGGACTTGAAGCGGATCACTTATTGTTGTTGAGTTCCTCTCATCAAGATGTTCAATTCGATTATAATTTTGTTGAAACTAGAGTTTGGATGGCTTTGAATTTGATTTCAAAAATTAACAATATATATATTGAATCGAGATCACTGTTTAAAATTGTGAAATATAAGGCTCGCCTTGAGACCCGCCTCAGCGCAATTCTAGTGAAAAATGCCTTGAGGCTTATGCCTCTAGCTTTTATATAAGGCTTGCGCCTCAGCTTGGTTAAGGCCCGCCTTGAAGCACGCCACGTCTTGCTATCGTGAGGCTTACGCCTCGCTCTATTTATATAATTTTTTTTATTAAAACTTACATAAATCAAGCAATTTATTATGCAACAACTCAGATAAAGATCACCTCAGTGATGACAGTGCGGATAACTCCTAAGTTGTTGCCAACTATTTCATCTTTCATTAAGAATTAAATGTAATTGAGTAAAGAATTAAGAAAAAAAAAAGAAAATTTGGAGTTGAATTTGATGTTATATGACACTTTTATACAATTTCTATATTTAATATTATTTTCCTTTTATAATATTTGGATTTTTATTCTATTTCACGCAATTTATCACTTGCCACTTTAGATCTTGTGCAATTTTTTGTTTTATATGTATGTCAATTTGTTAATTCATAATTCAATAGGAAGTTAATATGTCATTATTTAATATATTATTTAGGTATTATATAAAAAAATACTTTTGACATTTATTATCACTTTACGCAATTTTTTGATTTTGAGGCTTACGCCTCAAAATGCCTTGAGGCTTGCGCCTCGCCTCATGAAAAAAAAATGCCTCAATACCTAATTGCACAATTTTAAACATTGATCGAGATTCATCCCTGATTGGCCAAATTTTCAATGATGTATCAAAAATTGTGTTTGAATATATGAAATTAATTTCAGTCAAGAAAACAAAACAAGTTGGGTAATAACAGGTCCAATGTAATCTGACATGATCATAAAGAATGCTATCCATATCAAAGTTTTCCTATCAAATTCAGAAAGTAGACTTAACAAACTTCATATTTAACAAACTTCATATCCTTTGAAACCACTCACTAACTTGAGTGTTAGAGAGTCTTTCTGAAGAAACATTTCTCAAGGCAAACTACTGCCTTCGTTGTGCGTGTGCAAGGAAGAAAACATTGTGAATGACATGCCCTAAGGACTTCAATTGACTTTAGATCATTTATGGCATATAACAACCATAACCAAATAAAAACACATACATTTAGTTAAAAACACCCCTCATCTTACTATTAGTTGTGTCCTCATTTATATCATTCTTTTGTAACAAAAATAGTCAAACCGACCTAATCAACCCAAAATGAACTAAATGTATTAAAAGCGGAAGAAAACTACTGGTTTTACATAAGTTGAACCAAATTGAATGATTTAGTTTTATTCAATGTATTAATAAAAATTTTTGATCAAAAGTCAAATATTTTTTAAGATGTTTATATACATATTATTTTTACAACTTAACTGCTTCTTATCCCCTTAATTATAATATACCATCATATACAAGACAAAATGATAATCACTATGTTTAACTATAATCTCACTCCTCAAGTCTTCTCTAAACCTCTCGTATCTTAATTTCCCTCTCACGGAACTCTCAATCATTGATGAGAGCCAAGAGATTTTATGAAAGCAATTTATTTTAATTGATAAGCTTGAAGCTAAATCATATTCTTGATGCCAATTGTTCATCTAAATGATTTTTGTGTGCACAATCCTAGATTACACATGCATGCATATTTTTAGTACACCAAACACAATATTGTTGGAATTGAAGCTCAAGATCAAAATTGATTAAAACCAACCAAATGGCTTTCTTCTTAAAATATGATGGTTTGGTCAACCTTTAAGATAAACGATTGTAATGGTTTGTTTCTAGAAACCCAAAAAACCAAACGAAACCCACCCAGGCTCACTGCTTAGGCTTGAATAACAAAAAGACACTTTGTGATTTAGGACAATAGATAGATTATTTGAAAATTACTTAACTATTATTCAATTCGATCAACTCCTATGTTCCACTATAGCTTACCATGAGCTCAACTAAAATGTCAATCAGCACGTCCTATTCATGTCGACCCAGACCATATGTAGTGTATGCTGGCCACAGCTTCCAACCAAAGACCAGTTGATATTGCCCTCTTAAAACAATCAACATTTATTCAGGGAATTCTTTGACCCTAAAACTGAATAGTTTCGTTATATCTGAAAATCACTTCCAGATGAAGCAATCATAAACTGAAAAGCAACTTCAAATCGGACTAATTTTCCCTAACAAATCAGGACATGTGAATTTCAGCAGTAAATCAAATGAATTCCAATATACTGAGCTATAGTAAATGAACAAAAGAAGAAATCACCTGCATGAAACAAGCAAGCCACCCAAACCATTTATGTTTGCCAGTGAGTAAATGCCTCCATGGAATTTCATCACCAAATCACACCATCAACAAAATAGGACCCGCCATTCACCACACTACTGTCCACCATTTAAATTATCAACAACCAGAATCCATTGATATCTCTGTCTGTACCTCTCCAAATCAATACCCCACACACCAATTATGGCTGTTCCTACCCACCCCGTATACCAATCGACCTGTCTGCTACCCCAAAACGAATATCAAACAAATTTCGTGGATCCATCGGTCCGACTTCTTTACCAATCTTTTATCCCTTTCACGTACACTCATCAAAAGGCCTCACTTATTGATCGTTATTCCGCAATAAATTACCCACGAAAACATCTTTCAACCAAACAAAATGGAGTCAATGCATGAAGTTCTGGCGACCCGAGAAGAGGTTGATGTAGAGCTCGCTACCGCGAGTGTCATAGAAGGCTAGGTTAAACCCTCCAATGATCGGAACCGTACGAAGCCCGGTTCCTCCAGCGTTGGTCGAACTCTGCTTTGAATCGCTCTCTTGGTATCCTTCTATTCTTCTCTTGTAATCTGTCGTTCTCTCCGTGGCCAATGGCAACACCTGGCTGGGCAACGGCTGATGAAGGAGAAATTATTGTGTACTCAGTCCGAACACAGTGATAGGTTCCGATGCTGCCTATTTACTGTTTAAGCGTATTTTTTATGTATTTAATTTTTTCTACGTATTTTTTGCGTATTTATTATGTATTTAGTAAGTATTTAGTGAGTATTATTTATTTGTTATTTTTTGGCACAAAAAAATTTTGTATAAAAAAATACGCAACAAATAAACAGTAAATACGCAGCATCCCAACGCGTTCGGATTACGTACACAATAATTTCTCCTTAAGAGGAGGATTCGACTTTTAAAATAGGACTTTCAACACAAAAAAAATTTTATTAGTGGGAGATGGACAAAGATGCTTAGAATTGATAAAATTAGGGTAATAAGTTTTTTTGAGAGGGGGCAAAATATCCAAAATATTTCAAAATATACTCTCTAAAATTTAAAAAAAAAATGAGGGTGGGCATTTGCCCCCCTTCAATGCCATGGGGATCCGCCCATGTTTGAGATAGAAATATAAATTAACATGAATTTGGTGAGACTTACCTCATTATTTTATTCAAGTCTAATTCTTTCAAAGCTAGAATATTTATATAATATAAGAGATAAGAGTTCATTATTAACAACTTCTATGTAATTAGCAACTCTTAATAACTTAATATAATAGCTAATCATTTAATATTCTTATTATCCTATTAGATAAGCATTAGCCTTGGTGGCGACGGTGGATGTCAGTGTTAATGTCAATAAAATATGTAAATTTTGTTGGTGAATACAAGCATTGATGTTGTTGATGATGATGGATGTCAGCCTTAACAATGATGTTGTGCATCAGCATTAGTGTTGATGATGGGCATTGGGATTGATGTCAGTAGTGGATGCCATCCTTATTGATGGCGACAAATATCAAGGGTTTTAATCAAATTAAATATTAGTATTATTGGAGGTGATGATGAGTGATGGCATTGGTATTGACATTCATTAGCCTTGCTAGTGAAAGAGGTGTTTGTCTTGTTGGTGATAGTAGACATCAGCCTTATTAGCTACAAATAGCATTGCCCTTATTGATGCAAGTGGACATCCAGTGCCTGTAGGTATAGCTCCAAGTTTTCTCCTATAAAATTCTTTTGACAACTTCCTCTCATCCTCCTTGCCCCCTCTCTAAGTAGATATATGACGTATTTACTATTTATATATTCTTAAAAGCAAAATTTTGATTATTTCGGTCATAAATCTTGGATCAAAAGTTCGGAATTTATCTCGCATGATCATACAATATCTTTTAGACATATTAGTGATTCAGTGATATCAAAATTATGTGATCCCTTATAAGAAAAAAATAACATCTTGACATATGTTTGGCAATATACTCGTGTGGAAAAATAGCTACATTATTGCATATGAAATATCTACCATGCAAAGCCAGCACCAAAGGAATTTTTTAGTAAGTTAACCTAAATATACCTTATCTAACCGACTAAGTTTGTGCCCATCACACTACCTAATATGTTGGAAAGTCAAATTATGTGGTCAACTTATATGATTATAACAAAGCTACCGAGCTAGTTTATCTTAGAGATCCAATTAAATTAAGACATGCCATATTAATCTTATTGGATTTCAAAGCTTAAATTTAAAAATATGTTTTATAATGTTGAAAATGGTGGCCTTATATTTTTAGGAAATTTAAAATATTTTTGAAAGTGTTGGCCTTATATTTGACCTAAGCAATGAATTTAATTTTAAAATTGGATTAAAGTGGCATGCTCTATATTATTTGTATCCCATAATAATTATATAAGATATGGGCATGATAAGAAACTTATTATTATTAAATAAATCATCATCTAATAATGATGGTCAATCTATTATAATTATAGGTTAATCTTAGAACTTGTGTTAAACTTATTCAATCAATAAAGTGCTAACTCATTTGCATGCAAATACAATGGATGATTGAAACTATCAATCATCCATCTTAAGGATTTAAATATTTGAATGTGATTCAAAGTTTTGAATGACCAAGAATTCTAAGTTCTAATTACATGATTTGGGCTTTAATACTAAGATTGCAAGGTCAAAAATATTCCGATTAGAGTGTCCTACTAAAAGTTGAATTAGATGATGAACAAAGATTACTTTAATAAATGATATGTAAAAATAAACGGAAAATAATTTGTCTGAAGAACAATAATATATTTAGAAGATTAATGACCATATTAGATAAAAGGAATAGCTAAAAGATCATGACAAAGTTAAGAAATAGTGTAATCAAAAGAGCATAATAATATTAAGAAGTTCATTCAAAACAACATTATTGTTCAAAGTTGAATCTTACCAAAAGGATGTGATTAGAGAAGAAATAATATTGCCAAAAAGAGTGTGACTATTCTAGGAGGAACCTAGCATAAAATACATAGTTAGGGAAGGAATAATATAACCAAAATAGTATGTCTACATTAGGGTTTGGGATCTCAATAATAATAATAAAAGACCAAAAAGAAAGATTTAGTTCAAGAGCATGCTTAAATTAAAGACAAACATAAATCGGTAACTAAGTGAAGATGTAATTAAGCGTGACATTAATGTATGAGGATAGTGTATGGTGATATTTATATATAGATCAAAATTATCATTAGATATAGCTAAAGAAGGTATTATGACAATTAATGTCACGTGGACATAAAGGAAGCTGTGTGCAGCAGTGTTGTGTGTTGGAGTATTGACTAGTCTATAAAAATTAATAGATTGGTCAATATTATTCTTAAATGTTCAGTGATAAAGTTGTCTCATATTAGTCAAGTCTAAACCTAACTTGTTGAATTAAGAGAAAGTTTTAGCTATAGTGTATAATATGCATAACCCTAAAATAAAGTTTTAATACAAAAACATGACACGATGTGCTAATAACTAAATATGTGAAGATTTAAGACTAGTCAACTCAAATTAAGCTATAGTTGACTTAGGTTGACCAATAACATCACATCAATATGTCAATAATTATAAACTTCTACTAAGATAAGATGAAATTTGATTATGAATATTTTGGACTGCCAAAATAATTTTGATAATTTTTAGATAATTGTCAAACGTGATTAATTTAAAATGTCCAAAATACTCTAAATCCCTCAAAATAGAAAATTAATATTTAAAATTAACATCAAATAAGTTTAAATTTCTTAACTTTAAAAATCAACATCAATAGTATCAAAATGTCAAAATCAATGTCTAAAATCTAAATCTTATTTTTCCCTTAATTATTTGAATAACTAAAGATAAATAAGAATTTTAATTAAAATAATTGGATAATTAATCGATCTTTAATAGAACAAGGTTGAATAAATGGAAATTTATGATCTAAATCAAATTGAGAGAGATTCCCAAATATTTAAATAATTTTTTAATAATTATTTGATAATATCCATAAGTTACACTAGAAATATGAAAATTATAAAACATATCAAATCCTTAAAAAATATTTGAGGATGTTCAACAAATTTTGGGCAAAATTAATCAAGCCATAAACAATAATATTAAAGGAGATTATTAATTTTTTAAATATCAAAATTAAGCATTTTGATGTTAAAAAATTCATATCAAATTTGAGTCTATTATGCATTTGCATATAAACATGATTGACAAAATAGTATTAGAATTAAACATCTTTCGTAATTGATGTAAATATCACATTATTTATAGAAAATGCCAAATAACTTTAAAAAATTTCAAAATAAATTTGTGAATATTTTCAAAGCATCCAAATGATTTTCAAAAAATAAATTTATATGATCAAATAACAAGCAAATACATAGAAATGGATTTTCTCATTTAAATTTATTTTCTTACATTTTCAAAAATAGATTTAATGAGGAAAAATGGTGACAAATGTAAAAAAAAAATTTTTTTTTTTTTGAATCCCTAATAAATTTACAAAAAATTTGTGAAATTTAAATTTAATATTAGTTTCTAATTATTATAACCCAAATGAGTCAGGAATTTCTTAAGAAAAACTATTTTCTGGAATTATTTAAGTGTTTTAAATTTTTAATAATTATACTATATATTGTTATTATTCTGAAGCAAATGAGCTGGGTTTTAAAATTGGATCCTGAAAGTTCAAATGCTTAATTATGATGATAAAAAAATTATTAAAGTTAATTAATTATTTTTTAATAATATAATTAAATACTAGATGTTGTGGGGAAAAACAAATGCATTTATGCGTTATTTTTTTTATTTGCGTTGAAATCTTGACCTGTTGCCATTAATATGGTGCGGCCGTGTGGGTAGTTTCTTGGTGATGATGATCAACCTTTGGTAAAAAATATTTCTATTTATTTTTTATTTTTTAGGCAACAGTGATCTAAGGGCCGTAATCAAATGGCTCTGGTCAATTAATCATTATTGGGGTGATTGTAGTCTGGTGATAGTGATTGAAGGACTAAAATTAGAGATGAGAGATCGAAAGTATCAAAACGATGGTCGAACTGCACTAGTCTGATGGCGGTGATTGGATGATGGTGATTCAATGACGACAGTCCGTTGGTGATGGCATGATAGAGCTCTGAGATTTTGAAAGTCTCTGTCTAACCTCTCTTGAATTTCAAGCCAATGGACTATATTCAAGTAAAGATCTAAGGTTTATTAATTTATAGCATTTTAGAAGGATATGATCTATAAATATAATTAAAATCTTGAACAAACAATATAAAAGATAGTCCGCATTGAATCATTGATCATATTTATTCTTTATATTTAAATATCTTAATGATGTCAAAAATTACGCGAACTCAGATTCGTTGGATTTGTCCCATCGAGATGCTCGGTTTGGTTAAAAGCTAGCTAGCATACAAGATATGAGATGATTTTGTTCCCTAATTAATTTATAAAAAATTCAAATTACAGTTAAAGTGCTTCGTTTGAATCATGGGAGGGATTCATCTCATCAAGATGTTCAGTTTGATTGTAAAACTTAATGAGATTGATGTTCAAATGAACCTAAATTTAATTTCAAA